TATGATTGGCAGATTGCTCTTTGTAACCTCCCTCTCTTCGTTTACACTCCTCTACAATCCTTTATCTGCAAATTGTATTCTTATCAGCTGCTCGAAGTATTATCAATAGCCTAGTTTTAGATGGTGGACCTGTGTGGTTCCGCTCTCACTCATCGCTCATCTCACTTTTGCTATTTGTACCCAGAGTGGACAGAGAGAGTTGAACTATGATATTAACTTTACCATTTTAAGTTTATTGATTTGATGAAAAAATAATTCAAACACCCTTTATGAATCAGAACATTCTCTTTGTGTTCCTTTCTGTCTTGTTCTTTCAATTTTGTTATACTAATCAACTCACATGATAAAAAAAAATGTGAACAGTAGAAAGTGAAAATAAAGTTCGTAAAGATCATGTAACCCATGAGTTCAAACTAAAAAAAAATTCCTTCTCTAAAGGCTTTCAAACATCAATGAATGCAGTCTATATAGAATCAGATGTCTCAATTTATGTACTGAGATAGTTATTAACTATATTCAATTGTAGTCCTCTATTCATTCTTGTCTTATTGAAAGCAAGACCAATAACTATTGTTTCAGAACTCAAAAGAGAGAGCACTAGCTATGGGATGGATGAATGAAAATAATTTTTTTTCATAGAAGGTCAACAAACAATCTGATATTTGTTACATGCTGGCAATATGATGTTCAAATGAAAATCTTTTCTTATCATGGCTTCATAGAGTAACTCATATCTGATTTCAAGATAATGAATAGGTAATGATGAAGAAGGACACAGAAAAAAAGTAAAAATCAGAAATATCTTTAATTTATTTGCGGTAAGGACATAGTTAAGGAAAAGAAAAAAGAGTTATTCGATTGAATAAGTAAAATGTGATGATCATGAGCTCATGTTTACATTATTCATTATTTTCACAATTTTTTCAACTTTTTTTTTGATCAATCGATGACAGTCATCGCTCACAAGGGTATTGGATGATCATTATAATCGATATGAGTATGAATATGTAAATAAAAACAGTTTGGGTCATAATAACATGTGGAATAATATTATGCTGCATCTAGGTTAAAAGCTATGATGATGTTGGTAACATGTAGTTCAATAAGGAATAAGTAACAATCTGATACTTTTGTTAAACAAAAATTTCTGATAGAGCGTTTATGGTGACATCTATTCTGTATGTATACATATGAAAAAGTCTGTTATATAAACATACATGACATAAGAGAATAAGAGGTCAAACAAGTAAGTTCACATGTACTATGCTCATTGAGAATCTATTTGAGAAAGGTTCCATCTGGCGTTAGTATCGATTTTTGTTTTTTCAAAC